GCTCAGGCAATCCACTCACCTCGGCCTCCCAAAGCGCGGGATTACAGGCTGAGCCACTGAACCTGGCCCATGATGAGTGTTTTAAGAGCACACCTCCCCACACCACACTGAATGTCCAGCAGTTTTTGACCCAAACCGCATGATCTTGGTGACCCACCCCCTCTGTTTACCTGATCTCACCCCAGCCACTGCTTTTTTGTTTTCCTGGATGCTAAAAGTCGTCATCAAAGGGAAACATTTTGCCGATGTGGAAAGGGTGAACAAAAACCAGCAGAAGCACTAAAAGGCGTCAAAATTGATGAGTTCAAAAACTGTTTTGAGCAGTAGAAAAGGCGTCTCGATAGGTGTATTGTGTCAGACAGAGAATCCTTTGAAGGTGACTGAAGTTTAAACATGTAAGAATGAATACACAATTTTTGATAAATAAATTCCATTTTGGGGGGCCCCCCTCAGAATATAATAACAATGATCATAATAACAACACCACCATAAACATTTCTTGAGATTTTTTTACTGTGTGTCATGACTTGTGTGGAAAACTTTATGTGCATGGTTTCATTTGCTCCTGATTAAACTCCAGCTTAGCAGGGACTTTAATGTTTATCCTCATCTTCTAGATGCAGCAACTGAGCATTGCAAAGGAAATAACTTCCTGAGAGTGGCACCGCTAGCCTGTGGCAGGCTCTGTGTTTGAATCGAGGTCTGTCTGACCACAAACCCTTTGCTCTCTTGTGTTCACTATGCTGTCGCCCTGAAGGATTCCAACAACGCTTAGCATGGGGCAACTCCACCTTTAGCATGGGCCACCTTACGTTGGCATGAACACGTCGGGTTGGGTTCAAGTCCTATTTGTTCAAATAAATGGTCAGGCCCTTGAGGGCAAGAAATGGTTTGATGCCCATTTGCATCACCAGGACTCAACATAATGTCTACAGTAGTAGGAACCTGGGGATGGGAACACAACATCAATAAGGGGACCTGACCTCAAACCAGGCAAAGTGGGGACCAAAGGGAGGCCCAAACTTTACCTGTACGATGTCCAATTATCTACCTAATCCTGAATTGTACCCCACATCTTTTAAAAAAATAAAAATAGGCCGGGCTCGGTGGCTCAGCCTGTAATCCCAGCACTTTGGGAGGCCGAGGTGAATGGATTGCCTGAGCCCGCGGGTTTGAGACCCACCTGGGCAACTTGGCGAGACCTCATCTTTACAACAAATAAAAAAAAAATTAGCCGGGTGTGGTAGCACGCGCCTGTAGTTCCAGCTACTTGGAAGGCTGAGGCGGAAGGATCGCCGGAGCCCAGCAGGTCGAGGCTGCGGTGGCCGGGAGTGGCCACTGCCCTCCAGTCTGGGTGACAGAGTGAGACTCCAACTCAAAATAAAAAAAATAAAAAATAAAAAAATAAAAAGCAGGAAACTAGTTCACTGCTTCTTTTAACAATTAATTTTATTTTAGACTTAAGGGGTACAAGTGACGACCGATTACTTAGGTATATGGCATGATGGGACAGTTTGGGCTTCTGTGAACCACCCCACCCAGTGGTGAGCATGGTACCCCATGAGTAGTTTTTCAACCCTTGCCCCATTTCTCTCTCCCCTCTTGGAAGTCCCAAGTGTCTGTTGTTCTCGTCCTTGTGCTCGTGTGTGCCCCGTGTTTAACTCTCACTTGTGAGTGGAAACGTGGTATCCGGTTTTCTGTCTCTGTGATAATTCTCTTAGAATGATGGTGTCCAGCTTGATCCACGTTGCTGCAGCGGACATGACTTCATTCTTTTTTATGGCTGCGTTGCATTCCGTGGTGTGGATGCACCACGTTTTCTTTATCCAACCCACTGTTGGTGGGCACCCGGGTTAACTGCTCCTTTTTTCCCCACAGCCCTTTCATCAAACCTCGAAGGCAGCACTGATTACGTGTACGAGTCTTGTTGTATGCCTCTGCCTACCTTCTCTTTGTGCCTCCAAATATCGTTTTCTTTTTCTGTAACTCAACACGCAGCACCCAGGAACTGCTCCTTAACTACTGCTGAGGAATTGAGTGGATGGTTCCTGTTGATGCAAACAACCACGCCAGGATTAACGTTTCCCTTTTAAATTACCTTTTCCACCCCTCTGCATGCCATCATGTTATTGTCCTGCGTTCACTCCAATGACCGTATTGACATTGAACTTAAACATTCGACTTGAAAAATATTCCAGCAACATAGATAAAGAAACACCATCCAACATGATGACGTATCCCTTCTGATTTTGTTGTAGCTTTCCCTGGATCTCTATCACACAGAGGATGATATTTACAAACTGTCCCTGGTGCTGGAGCCTAGAAATTCCAAATCGGTAGGTACTGTTTTCTCACTGAGCATCAGTGCCAAATGCCAGGCACCATTTTTTTTTTTTTTTTGTCACTTACAGCAGTTGCCATTACAATGTTGCTCTGTGATCTGAAGATGGAAGAATTTTAAAAATCAACATTATTCTCATATTGTCCGTGGAAGAGCTTCGCCCTGACAGTTTGAGAATTATTTCTTCATATCAGAGGCTGATTGAGAGAAGACACATCATTCCCATTGCTCTGTTTTAGTATTGATCTTCTATTTGTTGTGTCCTTGCTGAGAACTCAACTGTAGGACCAAAAAATGAAAAAAATGGATAATAGCTCATCTTCATGTTAAAGATCATTTAGATCCTTCTAGGCTTTTCCAAAGCTCCTTTCAACATAAAATTCGATTTAATAAATTTTAAATACCTTGATCATGACCCACAAATTCCTCCACTAAGGACCAACACAGCTCAGAATTTCTTTTTTTTTTTTGAGTTGGAGTCTCACTCTTTCGCCCAGGCTGGAGTGCAGTGGCATGCACACACATGGCCACCCCAGTGACAACCTTCTGGGCTCCAGCGATCCTTCCGTCTCAGCCTTCCGCATAGCTGGAATTACAGATGTACAGCTATTTTTTAAAAAATTTCATTGTAGAGACAAAATCTTGCCAGGTTGCCCGGGCTGGTCTTGAACCTGCAGGCTCAGGCAATCCACTCACCTCGGCCTCCCAAAGTGCTAGGATCACAGGCTGAGCCACTGAGCCCAACCTCAGAATTTCAGTATCACACAGATAATGTCTCATTTAGTTGATAACCGACTCTTAGCAAATAAACAGAATTTCAGTGTCACACGGATAGTGTCTCATTTAGTTGATAACCAACTCTTAGCAAATAAACATTATATAACTAGATTGAGGAAACGGCCTTATTGAATGTACACCGTTCGTTAGTTTTAGTGAGTGAATGATATTTTAGATATGTTTTGCACTAATAAAAAAAGGCATGGATGAATCTAAAAGTGACAATGAGGATGAGATTTCCATGTTGAAAGGAAACATGTCCTATTTGCTTCTTATCTATCTCGAGGTCAGTTTTCTTTGCAAAGACTTCATGAGCTACCTCCTTACCAGTTGAACTCAGTAGCATGCAGGCAGCAACTGTGGTCTCTAAGTTGATTGCACCGTGATTCCTGTGATTCTGAACCATCTGGCTGAAAGAGACAGACTGATGGTGAGACCTGTCCTCTGGCCTCAGCAGGGCATAAGCTTGAGGCTGACTGAGTTTGCCGTCCTTCCTGCCAGTCCCCAGAGCCTGGTCTTCCTGGAATTCAGCAGGACAGAGCTGTGAGAGGCAACACCCTCCAGGCAGGGGGGCAAGTGGGATCCGGACTCGTCACAGTTAGCATGACTGAGAGCTAGCGAGAAAGGCACTGCTTTTATAAGAACAGGGGTTTGCAAGCCGTGGCCTGTGGCCTGGTGACCGTGGCCGTGGTGCGTTAAGCCCTACAATAAGTGTGCACATGAGATGGCCACCACGTGATGGCCACCTCCTGATGCCTGCCTTCAGCTCTCCCAGGCACCATAATTGCTTCCAGTTGCTGGACGCCTGTCAGGGCACCGTGGACATGTTACCTCCTCAATTCCAGCCTGGGCGACAGAGTGAGACTCTGACTCAAAAAACGAAAAAATAGAATTTGGGCTGCTGCTAAACAAAGGCACTGTCCAAACATGTATTTAGTCATAGATCAGATTCCATTAACAAAATTCTTGGCCAAGCCCACAGTAGCTCATGCCTGTTATTTGGGAAGCCAAGGTGAGAGAATTGCTTAAGCCCAGAATTGCGAGGTCTCGTCTCTACAAAAAAAAATGTATAAAACTAGCTGGGTGTGGTGTCATGTGCCTGTAGTCCCAACTACTAGGGAGGCTGAGATGGGAGGATTGCCTGAGTCCAGGAGTTCAAGAGTGAGGCTCTGACTCAAAAAAAACCCCAAAGATGCTTGCTTTATAAAACACAAAAGTGCTATATAAATGTAAGTTTCCACTGGTATTGTTGCAATGAAAAGCTCACCTGGCTCTCTCAGTGTCCCTGAGTCCTCGTTGTCCAAGGCCCCAGTTAAAGTGGAAAATGTGTGTTTTCTGTTCAGCAGCCGACCTCCCCCACGACGCCCAACAAGCCTGTGGTGCCCTTGGAGTGGGCTTCAGGGGTGGTGCCAAAGCCAGACCCCACAGTCATCAACAAGCACATCAGGAAATTAGTCGAGGTAAGTGGCGAGGGGGATAAAGGGAGAGCACTAGAAGGTCCCTTTCTCTTTCCAGAATGTTCTGCGGTTGTCCAGGAATCAGACGGACTCCATGAAAACAGCCCTCTGGCAGGTAGGAACAGTGTCACAGGCCCTTGGCTCTACCTGGCGGTGACCTCTGGGGAGAATCCACCAGAAAGGTCCCCTGCCCTTCTCAGTCCATTCTCACTTGCTCGGACGCCCTCAGCCACTTCCGACTCTCTTTTGCAGACACTTACCACTTCTATCATTGCCACCAACTTGAGGGGCTGTTTAGGGACTAGAATCACTCATGAAAAGCTCGTCTGGGTCACAATAAAATGCCTGATAAAGTGGTTACCTAAGGGCAGGGAAAAATCCTGTGCACTGTATGGTGTCCTCTTCTGTATGTTTTGGGGGTTTTATGACACCGTAGCACAATGCCACTGAGGTCAGGAAATCTACCTCATCCAGGACAAGGCCTGTGGGAGTTTTCCATGTAGAAGGAGGGGGCTGGGCTTGGTGGCCCAACCTGTCATCCCAGCACTTTGGGAGACCAAGGTGAAAGGATTGCCTGAGCCTGTGGGTTCGAGACCAGCCCAGGCAACTTGGTGAACCTCGTCTCTACAATAACTAAAAAAATTAGCTGGGCGTGGTAGCATGTACCTGTGGTTCTGGCTCCTTGGAAGGCTGAGATGGAAGGATCGCCAGAGCCCGGCAGGTCGATGTTGGGGTGGCCGTGAGAGTGCCACTGTACTCCAGTCTGGGCGATGGAGTGAGATTCTAACTCAAAAAAAAAAAAAAAAAAAAGAAAAGAACTAAAGAAAGAAATAGGGGGAGGAGGCGTGCCCAGGAGACCAGGCAAACACCTCAGGCACAGAGACCCTGGTCCCTGGTTAACCTCTGCTTTAATGGTTCTCATGGGTGGATGCTGGGTAAAAAAAAAATTAAATGAAAAATGATAAAATAAGCATCTATGTTAATGGATTGGTAGGTACATCGTCTGATGAAATAGAATTGAATTTTTGGGCTATAATGGACTTTATGCTGGGAAAAGATGTCTAAAGAAAAAAACAAAGAATGTTCTATATCTTGGCTAAGCCAGGGAACTCTCAGGCACTGAAAGAAAAGTGTGACGCATGTGAGGCTGGAAGGGGAGGTCAGAAAGGGCCGTGCTGGGAGGAATTTGGGAAGGGAAGGACTGAGACGGAGGTGAGGCCCAGTGGGAGGATGCGGGAGGGATCCAGGGGCCTCTGGGATGAAGGGACCCAGGGGTGGCTCAGGAATGTCTCCAACCAGGAGTGGAAGGCAGAGCTGCTGTGTCCTCCTGTTTCTGTAGCCTCGGGCTTTCCAGTGGGGAGTCACGCTTCTCAATCTTTCTCTCTCTCTCTCTCTCTCTCTCTCTCTGTCTCTCTGTCTCTCTGACTCTGTCTCTTTTTCTCTCTGTCTCTCTGACTTTTTATCTGTCTATCTCTATTTCTCTGTCTCTCTGTTCCTGTCTATCTCTGTCTCTCTGACTCTGTCTCTGTTTCTGCACCTCTGTTTCTGTCTCTCTGTCTCTGTTTATATCTCTGTCCCTCTGACTCTGTCTCTCTCTGTCTCTGTATCTCTCTGTCTCTGATGGGTTCTTAGAAACCTCACCTAGCAGGGGAAGCCTGTACTACAAAGGATCCACCCCCCAGAAGATAATTCCAAGGTCTTCTGGGTCTCCCTCGTATATGTGAACATATAAATAAATACATACACACACACACATGCATGCTATCTACATGCATGTATATCTGTGAGCAACCTTGTTTGATTATTTTCTTAGAACAGATTTCCAGAAGTGGAATTGTTGTGTTAGAGATAGGTTCTTCTTCAAGTGCCTGTCTCTCTATCTCTGTCTCTGTTTCTGTCTCTTTGTACCTCTCTGTCTCTATCTCTGTCCCTCTGGCTCTATCTCTCTCTGTGTGTCTCTGTCTCTCTTCCCCACACATTCGCCTTTGCCTTTGCTGTCTCCCTTTCTCTTCAATTCCAATTCTATGGGATGGTTGACCCAGTTTAGATAATTTCCCTACCATTTGATCAAATGAAAGACTTGGACTTTTTAAATAAATTTTCACACTAAATTGTATTCCACAAAAATAGTCTTGTACTCCCTGTATACATATGGGTTTTAACTATAAATAGTAGTAGGCACTCCAAAATAGTTAACTTGAAGAAATATTGATTTGGGGTAAGCATTGATATTAAGACTTTTAAAAATAATGTTTTTATGATTTTGCACAATTCAGTTATCAATGGACAAACTTGCATTGAATGCTAAAGACCCATTTTACTCATGTATTTAATGTACTCATTTACACCTTGCCTACTCCCAAAATACTCCTGAACAGCTTGCAACATAGGACAGTATAGATAAAAAGAACACACAGAAACCACTGGGAAAAGGAAGAAAGAGAAATTATAACTGGAATGCACATCACATATGCATGTGCATAGATGTGTTTGCAGAAAGAACTTACAAATTATTTTGAGACGCTCACTTAGCAGAAAACAATGGAAAACCTTTTTTTATTTTTCTCTGATTGTAAAGGAAGACAGAATCATTGAAGATAATACATAAATTATAGAAAATAAAACACTTTAGCCAAGCACAGTGACTCACGCCTGTAATCTCAATACTTTGGGAGGCCAAGACAGGAGGATTGCTTGAGCCCAAGAGTTTAAGACAAGCCCGGACAACATAGCATGATGTCATCTCTACAAAAAATAAAAAAATTAGCCAGGCACGGTGGCGTGTGCCTGTAGTCCCAGCTACTCAGGGGGCAGAAACTGTGGTGAGCTGTGATTGTGCCATTGCATTACAGCCTGGGAGACAGAGGGAGACACCAACTCGAAAAAGGAAGGAAGGAAGGAAGGAAGGAAGGAAGGAAGGAAGGAAGGAAGAAAGGAAGGAAGGAAGGAGAGAAGAGAAGCAGCAGCTTTACTTTTAGGCCTTGGCAATTCTATTTTCCAGGGATAACCACTGATAATTTGTAGATAATCTTGTATGACTTTATTCTCTCTCTCCCCCACCCACCCACACACACATAAGGGAGGACCTCAAAAAAAAAAAACCCCAGAATTTATTTATACAAAATGATATATTCTTACGTGTTTAAACTCCAGTCACCTTCAAAGTCCTCTTCGTTTGATGCAACACACCTATCGAAATGCTTTTTCCACTACTCGAAACTGCTTTGGTTTTTTGATTTATTGTAGAGATGAGGTCTTGCTGCCCAGGCCGGGCGTGGTAGCGCATGCCTGTAATTCTGGCTACTTGGAAGGCTGAGGCGGAAGGATCGCCAGAGCCCAGCAGGTCGAGGCTGCAGTGGCGCGGCCACTGCACTCCAGTCTGGGCGACAGAGTGAGACTCCAACTCAAAAAAACCCCAAAAAACTGCTTTGGAACTCATCCATTTTTATGCCTTTTAGTGCTTCTGCCGTTTTTTATTTAATCTCTTCCACATCAGCAAAACGTTTCCCTTTGAGGACTTTTCAAATCCAGGAAAACAAAAAAAGCCAGTCTGGGCGAGATCCGGTGAATAGGGAGGGCGGGGCATGGGGTTCATCCTGTTTTTGGTCCAAAACTGCTGAACACTCAGCATGACATGGGCAGGTGCGCTCATAAATCACCCATCATGAAATGCAAAGTGTTGAAAGAATTTTCCCCCCAAAATACACTGACGCTGAATGCAGCCTCTCCCAACAACGTAAGCTGGAACACTGGTGCTGATGGGTTCTTAGAAACCTCACCTAGCAGGGGAAGCCTGTACTACAAGGGATCCACCCCCCAGAAGATAATTCCAAGGTCTTCTGGGTCTCCCTCGTATATGTGAACATATAAATAAATACATACACACACACACATGCATGCTATCTACATGCATGTATATCTGTGAGCAACCTTGTTTGATTATTTTCTTAGAACAGATTTCCAGAAGTGGAATTGTTGTGTTAGAGACAGGTTCTTCTTAAAGTGCCTGATTGTCCTCCAGAAAGACGAGCCTATCTACTTCACTAACTTGAGACAACAGTTTTTTTGTCTCACGCCCTAGGAGACAACCAGTTACAGCACTTTAGTATTTTATTTAATTGAGAGACATAAAACCAGTTTCATTTGTTTTTCTTGATTATTTGTTGAGCACCTTCTTGGGGATATAATGGCCGTTTGTGTATTTTTACTTTGGTGATTGCCTGTTTGACTTTTGTGTCTTGCTCGCATATAAATTGCAAATAAGTTGCTCTGTTTATCTTTATCTTTAAATTTATTGATTAAGCTTATTTGATTCAGATGTTTTGTATTTTGTTATAATAACATATTTTTCTGTATGGCCTCTGACTCTGATGTCATGCTGAGAAAGCCCTTTCCCACACCAAGATTATAAAATACGAAAACTCTTTTCATCTATTTATCTTTGGTACTTTTATAGCTTTCATTTTTTTTTTTTTTTTACAATAAGACATCTAATCCATCTAGAATTTAGTTGGGGGTACTTTATTTTATAAGATTATTTCAAAATAAATTTAACTCAGTAGCAATTATTGAATAATCCATAATTTCTCTGTGAATTTAAAAGATACATTTTTGACATTTAAAATTCTTATATATACATGGGTCTGTTTCTGGATTCCACTCTGTAGTAATATGTATCACATTGTTTTGTAGGGTTGTTGTTGTTGTTGGGATCTTACTCTGCTGCCCAGGCTGGAGTCCAGTGGTAGGATCACAGCTTACCGCTGCCTCAACCTCCTGGGCTCAGGTGATCCTTCCGCCTCACCTTCCTCGGTAGATGGGGTTACAGGTATGCACCACCATGCCCAGCTAATTTTTTTTTTTTTTGTAAAGATGAGGTCTTGCTATGTTGCCCAGGCTGGTCTTGAACTCCTGGGCTCCAGCAATCCTCTCCTCTCGGTCTCCCCAAGTGCTGGGATTACAGACGCGAGTCACTATGCCTGGCCCTGTTTGGTAGCTTTGTAGAATATTTGATTTCTGAAAGGACAGGTTTGTCCTCATTACCTCTCATTTTAAGTCATTTTAAGGCTATTCTTAACATATCCACTTCTATTTGAACTGTAGACTTAATTTGCTCATTTAGAACTAATTCCTGCTGGGATTTTGATTGGAAATGCATTAAATGCATACTTTAATTTCTGAAATAATTTAACATCTTAAGGCTTTATTTTCTATTGTTGTGGTATTAGAATTTGTAAATTCACCAAATCTATCCCCTATTCAGTGCTGAAGTCTCAGTTTAAATCTTGCTTTTTCCAAGAAACCTTTCTTGATGTACTTTTCTCTACTCCCATCTATGGCACCCTGGTTTTTTTTAAATTTCATTTAAAACATTTTTGGAGATGAGGTCTCACTCTGTCGCCCAGGCTGGAGTACAGTGGCACAATCAGCTCACTGCAGCCTTGAACTCTTAGATCCAAGCGGTTTTCCTACCTCAGCATCCATGATAGCTAGGACTGCAGGTGTGTGTCACCACACCCAACTAACTTTTTAATTTTTTATAGAGACTGGGGGATGGGAGAGGGATACAGGGGGGTGGTCTCACTTATGTTGCCCTGGCTGGTCTCAAGCTCCTGGCCTCAGGCGATTCTCCTTCCTCAGCCTCCCAAGATGCTGACATTACAGGCACGAGCCACCGTGCCTCTTTTTATCCTCAGCAGATCACTTATCTTGTTATGTTTCAAAGGCTTCTTGATTTAGTTGTCTATTACTAGATTCTAAGCTCCTTGATAGAAAGGACCAGATACTAATGATCACTGCTTTCACAATTACAAGTTCAGAGCCCGACCCACAAATTGTCATTCCATAAATACTTGTCTTTCCTTTGCAGTCTGTGTTTAGGAACTACGACCATGACCACGATGGATACATCTCCCAAGAGGACTTTGAAAGTATAGCTGCCAATTTTCCCTTCTTGGAGTCCTTCTGTGTGCTGGACAAAGATCAGTAAGTTTTCATCTCGCTACATTTCTTAAAGCAGAACGTTATCATGAGGAGAACCGGGAAGCTTGTCATTTACAACTTGACATCATCCACTCTGGTGCTCTGATGAGATAAGACTAATTTGTCACTGATTTTTCTTCTTGGCGCTTATGAACAAGACCAGTTGGGTGGACTCACAGCACAGGCCATGTCGTCAGAGTTGAACACAAGTGCCCATTTGTACGTTATTCCAGCTTGCCATTTGTTACACTATTTCTACTTCTTGGCTCTTTTTTTTTGAGTTGGAGTTTCACTCTGTTGCCCAGGCTGGAGGGCGGTGGCACACTCACGGCCACCACAGCCTTGACCTGCTGGGCTTAGGCGATCCTTCTGCCTCAGCCTTCCAAGTAGCCAGAACTACAGGCGCACACTACCATGCCCAGCTAATTTTTTTGTGATTTATTGTAGAGTGGAGGTCTCACTAAGTTGTCTGAACTGTCTCAAACCCACGGACTCAGGCAATCCACTTGCCTTGGCCTCCCAAAGTGCTGGGATGACAGGTTAAGTCACCGAGTCCGGCCTACTGCTTAGCTTTTACCACCAAAAAATCTCCATCAAAAGAGTAGAGATGACTCATGACAATAACTCCAGTGCTTTAGGATGCTGAGATGAAAAGATCACTTGAGGCCACAAGCTGGAGGCCAGCCTGGGCAACATAGCAAGACCCCATCTCTACAATAAACAAAAACAAACATTTTAAATTAGCTAGCCATGGTGCATATACCTGTAGCTCTAGCTACTTGAAAGGCTGAGGTGGAAGGATGGCTTGAGTCTAGGAAGCTGAGGCTGCAATTTGCTGTGACACGCCACAACACTCCAGCCTTGGTGACAGAGAAAATCCTTCTATATAAAGAGGAAAAAAAAAAAGAATAGAGGAGAAATGTTAGATGTAGCTTCAGCATTAATGGACCTGTAGGCGATCTTAACATGCATTAAGATTTTTGTAGACTAGTTCTAGTCTCCTTGAAGACAGGTAACAGCTGCAGACAGAAAAAAAGCATCCATACTTGTTTTTTTTATTTGATTGATTGAAAGTTGTCTTGAAAAAGGAGGAAAAAATATATTTTCTTTAGCTTTAGATGATTCCTGAAAAATTAAATGATTTAGAGACCGAAACTCAACTCATTTTAAAAATAGGATTTTAAAAAGTATAATTGCTCAGAACACTTGGCATTCATAATTTGATTAATTGTTAATTATGTTAGGTTAGTTCCCAGTTTGAAAAATCATCTGTAATGAAATGCTGGATTTTGTATTGGTGAAATGGCCAAATTAAATCACATGAAAATCCTCTAACATTTTATTGGTATGAGAATTTTCAAAAACTGAAATCTGAGACCAGGCAACGTGGCTCACCCCTGTAATTCCAGCACTTTGGGAGGCCGAGGTAGAAGAATTTCTTGAGCCCAGGAGTTCAAGATCAAACTATGCAACATAGTGAGACCTTGTCTCTACAAAAAAAATTAAAAATTAGCTGAGTGTAGTGGTATGTGCCTGTAGCCTCAGCTACTCGAGAGGCTGAGGCAGAAGGATCACCTGAACCCAGAAGGTCGAGACTGCGGTGAGCCATGATCGTGTCACTGCACTCCAGCCTGGGCAATAGAGGGAGACCCCAACTCAGAAAAAGAAAGAAATCTGGAAGCTTTGAGATAGCTGAACGCTTGGAGCTTTCTGGAGGGTGGTGTGCCCAAAGAGGTCATGGAAGCCCCTTGCCTTTTCCCCCAAGCCTCATCCCACCCATTCCTTCATCTCCCCGTCACCATACGATGCTGTGCCCTGCCTCAGGACTTTCTGGAGTCTCCACCAACATGAAAGCTCTCACCAGATGCTAGCCCTTGACCTTGGGCTTCCTGGGCGGGCTTCCTAACTCCATAATGGGAGGGGAGAGTTCACTCTGAATAACTCTTGGATCTTCTGAGATGTTATCCCAATGGCTAGCCCCAAGCTGCCTTCCAAGAAAACAGCATGCTCCCCCAGACTCAACTCCTTGTCAGATTCAACTTCACACAAGATCCAACCTCACCATGTATTCCAAACTCTGCTCAAATATCAGTCCCCTGATTATTCTATATAAAAATTCAATCCCTTTTAACTTTCTACCCTCCCGTCCTGCTTTATTTTTCTTCATGGCCTCTAAGCTAACTTATATTCATTTATGAACATTCATTGGGAAAGAGAAAGACTTCGACAAATAGTGCTGGGAGAACTGGATATCCATAGTGAAACTAGATCTCCGTCTCTCGCTATATACAAAAATCAGTACAAGACTGATAAAAGACTTAAATGTGATACTCAACACTATGAAACCACTAGAAGAAAAAGGAGGAGAAATGTTTCAGGACATGGGTCTGGACAAAGAGCAAAATCCTCTCAAAGAACAAAATCGTATCATCTGTGGCAACATGGATGTGCTGAGAGGACTTTGCGTTAAGCGTAATAAGCCAGGCACAAAAAGATAAGTCCTTTTTGTGAACTCATGTGGAAGCTAAAAAAAAAAAAGATCTCACAGAAGTAGAGAGAAGAACATTGGTTATGAGATGAAGGGAGGGGTGGCCCAGGTTGGTTAGTGAACACAAAAGTACAGCTAGACAGGAGAAATAAATTTTTCTGTTCTGCAGCGCTATAAGGAACTCTAGTTAGCCATTTATTGTATATTTTCTTTTTTTTTTTTTTGAGTTGGAGTCTTACTCTGTCACCCAGACTGGAGTGCAGTGGCACACTCATGGCCACCGCAGCCTCGACCTGCTGGGCTCCGGTGATCCTTCTGCCTCAGCCTTCCAAGTAGCTGGGACTACAGGCATGCACATCCATGCCCGGCTAATATTTGATTTATTGTAGAGATGAGGTCTCGCCAAGTTGCCTGGGTGGGTCTCGAACCTGCGGGATCAGACAATCTACTTGCCTCAGTCTCCCAAAGTGCTGGGATTACAGACTGAACCACCAAGTCCGGCCTTATTGTATATTTTCAATAGCACATACAGTAGATTTATGATTGATAAGTGTTTGAGGTGATGAATATGCTAATTTACCCCATGTGATCATGACCCATGGTAAACATACATCGATATACCACAGTGGACCCGATCAATATGTAAAATTATTATGTATCAATTAAAAACAATAATAAAAGAAAAAAAGAAATATAGAATTCAATGAACCAAGCAAAGACACTTTAACATAAACAACTTAAAATTTAAATTCATCTTTATTATATGCCAAGAACAAATAATACTTTAAATAACTTATACTGCTGGAATACTTTTTACTTTGTATGAAGTAAAATTTAAGTTACTGAGCCGGGCTCGGTAGCTCAGCCTGTAATCCCGCGCCTTTGGGAGGCTGAGGTGAGTGGATTGCCTGAGCCCGTGGGTTCAAGACCCGCCTGGGCAACTTGGCGAGACCTCATCTCTACAATAAATAAAAATGAGCCGGGCGTGGTAGCGCGCGCCTGTAATTCCAGCTACTTGGAAGGCTGAGGTGGAAGGATCGCCGGAGCCCAGCAGGTTGAGGCTGCGGTGGCCGGGAGCGGCCACTGCACTCCAGTCTGGGCGGCAGAGTGAGACTCCAACTCAAAAAAAAAAAAAAAAAAAAAAATTTAAGTTACCTGTTCCAACCTACTTCTTCCTTTAGTTTGTTACCATTGGTGACATGCACGTGGAATGTCAACTTAGAATCACTTTTCTGTCATTTATTCTCTGCCAGTACTAGGGACAGACCTGAGAGTGTCCCAACAGATACCCACATCTCTCTCCATAGCTATGTCATCTAGATCTATCTGTTGATGTCTCTAGAAGTCTTTCGCTTATGAATGGAGGTCTGAACGATTCAAAGCTTGCTCCCATGACCTCTTTTGTCAAAAAATGTGATCCCTTAAGTGAACACCTCGAACTTGACCGTGGCTAACCACACTAAAGTTTTGAGTGGTGAATACCGGAAAGTCTCAAAAAATATATGTTTTCTCTAAGGTACTGTTTTCCAAACTACATTTCACAGAAGCAGCTATTATTCATGTTTTTGAAAAAAGAATTAAATAGTCAATTGTGAGACGCTCAGGGTTAAAACTCATGAAACAGGTGTCTTTGCTGAGCAACTTCCCAAGACTTTTAACAGGCTGAAGTGACTCCCTGGGGTCGGGGGTGATGAGCTCACCACTGCTTCACACTGTTTCATAAGTAGTACATGTATTATGTACATAATATGTATACAGACATACACATGAGAGTATCCAAAAAAGTATACACAGGGCCGGGCTCAGTGGCTCAGCTTATAATTCCAGCACTTTGGGAGGCCAAGGCAAGTGTATTGCCTGAGCCAGCTGGACAACTTGGCCAGACCTCATCTCTACAATAAATCCAAAATTAGCTGGGTGTGGTAGCACACACCTATAGTTCCAGTTACTTGGAAGATTGAGGCGGAAGGATTGTCGGAGCCCAGCAGGTTGAGGCTGCGGTGGCCGGGAATGTGCCACTGCACTCCAGTCTGGGTGACAGAGTGAGACTCCGACTCAAAAAAGAAAAAAAAAGTATACACATTTTAAAAGATGTTATCTATGTATTACTTGTTGAAGTTGAATTCCATTACAGTTGTAATGTGTAGTATGACATTCACTCAGCTGTGCTTCTGCCATTTTCTTTGACTCTCCTGCCTGTCGCATGGTGACGCTAGCATTTATTTGATTAACGTCATCTTTGGAGTGAACATCATACTTAAAATATGTATACTTTTTTTGGCAACCCCCATATATGTACATATATATTTGTCAAAGAACCCTCCCCTTTTCCACCTCCTCTGTCAGCATCCCAAGGGTTTGTTTTTTCCACACAGAGAAAAGCTCTTTGGGAACTATTATTTTAGGGGGTGTTTATCTTTTAATCTGCCTCCCATGAAATACTCCATGAGCAAGAAGTCATAGGTTTTCAGTCAAATTGGGAAGTTTTGGTGGATCAGTGACCAAATAAAACTTCTTGT